GGTATCATAGACAAAAATTATTAAATACATACTGTCAGCCATGCTGCGGTTACCATAGGTTCTGGTGCACACCGCTGGGAGTGCATGTAGTTACGTAGCGCCAAAGATAAAACATAGTCAATACACATAGTAGATTTTCCATCATTATGGAACAGCTGAAGCCAATTTTATTGTTATTTCTGTCCGGTTTTATCTAGATGTCGTGTTTTGTTTATATTTTTTTTCTTGTTATTTCAGTAACTTAAAACCTAGATTAATCAAATAAAACTATCTAATAATAAACAATAACTCGTCCACTAGCTATACAACCAAACAATGAGACACAAATAATAAGAAACTAACCCTAAAATAATAGAAACAAAAACACAACATCTAAAGAAAACCGGACAGAAATAAAAATAAAATTGGCTTTAGCTGTTCCATAAGGATGGGAAATCTACTAAGGGACTATGTTTTATCCGTGGAAGCGCGTACGCCGTAACTACACGGCGCTCCCAGCGGTGTGCGCCAGAACCTATGGTAACTGCAGCATGGATGACGGTCTATTATGGTATACATCAATGACCGTCTAAGTCTCGGAAAAACTAGTTAGCATATATATGCGGTTGATTGAAATGAAATGAGTCCAATTATGAGCCTTGTTCCATGAGGGAGGCCATATACAAGATCACTATGAGATTGGACAGCATTTTAAGCAGTAGTATTTTAGTAAACAGTAGAGACAGTTGAGGGATTTCAAAGTCAACTTTGCATACTGTAGTTAATTTTATGAAATCAACTTGTAGCTTGGTATTAACAGGTTTGTTAGTGACATGTAGAATTTCATCATCACACCATCTGACAAGATAATATTTATTATTTTAACTGAATGGAAACATAATGAACACATTGTGGATTTATTTTACTCACATTCCATTCAGTACATAATCACGAAAGAATTGAAGAAACATGGTATCGAAGTAGCGTTCAAGACCAACAATATGACAATTAATAAATTAAACGTTTCTGATTGTGTAGTTGACAGACACACAATCAGCTGAATGTTTGACGAGAGCATTATAATGCCGAAACGGCCGTAACTCAAGTTACAACAGTTAGAGCAGTAGACGAAGGTAAATACCTATTTTAGCGAATTTCCCATATAGGTAATAAGCTATTACCATAGGTCTCATGGTAAAACCTGGACCCGGGACCGATTTACTATTTCATTTTGAGGTCCCCAGAGGCCAAAATACCATCCGTTCAATCATATATATATATTTGTGTGTCCGTTGTAATGGTCAAATTGTGTTAGGGGTAAATCTTTATTTAATATACACGAACGATTCGAGCGTGGCGATTTGTCACGACGGCAACAATGACCCGCTTGGTCAGTGTCTTACATAGTTTGAGACTCGGCCGCTGCCACCTTGAAGCGCTGCCGTAGCGGTGGTGGGGAGGAGCCTAGACCGCCGGACAGTGGACATTTCTTGGGGCAGTCGGCGGCGAGCGATAGGTTCGCGCACACCAACCCTCCTTAGGCTGTGCGAGCGAACCTAATAAAGTATCGAAGGCGTGCGAAACCTCGATGCGAATCTGGAAGTATTGTGTTACGTAAGTACACTGTATATAGCTAGCGTATACGTTGTATCCCTCCTCGTATCCACTTTGGAGAGGGAAATTACGTTATTTATTAGGCTATTCTAGGCCGTTTATGGTAGTTTATCGACTGACGCTGCAAGTGTAGTGTCGCAGTAGCCTACGCCTTATTTTAGGCATCCTAAGCGGTTTTGTTTTATTTCAGATCAAGAGTTTTTATTTATTTTCCTTAAAGCCAAGAAGAATTGGCATTTAAGCCTTCTACGTTTTATTTTATTTCATTATTTACTTATCGCGAGTTAGCGTCGTTTTCTTTTGATTACGAGAAGATTATTTTAGTTTTATTTTGAGAAGTGATTCCTCGTTAAGCCTAGGAGCTGGCTCTCTATTTTATTTCCTAATCTTCGCCTATTTATCTATCGGCCCCTAGTAGTTAGCTGCGACTTGGTTTTTGTCAGTGCGTCTCTGTGCTGATACCAAGTTATAGTAGTAACTATAGTTTGTGTATTCATTGATAGTAATTCGTGTTCGGTGCGTCGGCGTGCCGATGTACACAGTGTGTACTTGTGTACTAGCAGATCGACGCAACAGTAAATTCAGGAGGACCGAGGAGCAGTGAGCGAGCGACGAAGACCGTTAGCGAGACCCTGGACTACTCGAGCTATCCGAGCAAATCGGAAGTAAGTTTAGGATAGGTGCCCCTACCTGACATAAACACCTCACACCGTTAGCACAATAACTCTAACAAAAATTATCCGATTTTGATGAAATTTTGTATAAAAACCTACATTTATTTGAACGAGTTCGCGAACCAGCAAGATCGGACCATGGGAACGAGGGTATATGGGGTGTTTTATGGGGTAAAAATAAGTTTTTTCCATTTTTGACCATACAATTTTAGAATTTCTTTCCCATCCATTTTGTAGAGCTTAAAAAAGAAATAATTTAGTATATTGAAGCATTGTTGTATGCCTAAATGGTTACGGAGAAAATTCAAAAAAGTGAAAATTTCCATGCTATTCTTATGAAGAAAATGAAAACTGTTGTAGTTTACTTGTTTATGGATATATGTTGATCAAATTTGGCAAATTTATTTTTTTCATCCTATACTATTGACGTTTGGTCAAAATCACTGTTTACCTTCCCCGTAGCAGCAAACCTAAGCACTCGTTAAATCTAATGTTATTTAAATTGGGGATAAATATGTCTAATTTATGGAAATATTTGAGTAAATATGTAATCAGACAAGTTGAAATTCGCTTAGTATGCAGGTTTGCTGCGGCGGGGGTATTTAATACTATCACAGCCACAGCTCAGGCACGGCCTCCTATAACTACAGGCCGCGGCGTTCGAAGTGGCAACACAGCATCGGATGGCTGGATGTAGCTACTGCTACGCTACACCACTGAACACCCACGCTCGCGCCGCGGAGGATTGTAACAAAGCAAGCAAATTATCTATTAATTTAGATGATTTATATCTGACAACACTGATGTTAGGAAAAGAAGAAAAGATTTATACGAGACTTTCGTGGCAATACAAGAATATAATACAATATTTATTAAGACCTTTTACGGTACATTGAACGTATAAGTATTAGGCCTAATTGTAGTTTTCTTCCGTCTTTTCTACGTATTTACTCTATGATTTATTATTCGTTAAACACTAAAGTTTAAATCCTATTTACAATGTTATTTAGTTACAGCTTCTATGTAAGCTATTGTTTTATCAATTAGAATGATGGTGTTTACTATACAAAGTAAAAATTAACAAAAGCAATAAATAACATTTCTTTATTCAAGAGAGGATTGACATCTTTCTATGGTTACAGTGGCTATTATTTTTGTCTTTTTTTACTTTCGTGTAAAAACCAGCCAACACAGAAGAACAACTGCACGCTAATTATACATGTTGTCGCTAATTTTAGTTATTTGCTAATTCCACCTAATTCTATCAAGATGGTGGTCGCCACGCCTCTATTGGTTGATGAGCGCTAAGCTAAAAGTTCCGCTAGCTCCGCCTTCCGATTGTCTGTTGCAAGAATATTATCAATGGGTTAGTTATTAATGGTAGGTAGCGCAATAAATTAATGAATGAAGTAATATTTTTATTTCTCCTAATACTACATTAAAATTCATAGTAAACTACTGCAAAATTATTAAAATGAAAAGGAAAATGGCATTTCTGTTTTAGGCTACCGTATTTAATTATGAAGACATTAAGTCGTGCAGTGTGCACCGTGTATGATTGATAATTGATAATTGATAATTGTACGTGTAAACTTAATGGTTGGATTGTAGTAAATAGTTAAGCTGTCTTCAAAATGCATTCAATGCTGTGCTGTTGGCTGTAATAATATTACTTATTACGGGGAAATATAAGGAACACAGGTAGAGCTTTCAGTTATAACTTCTGTACTGGTTGGGAATGTATGTACCTATATTAAAGCAATGTTTCATACAAAAGTAATATTCTCTTTAGGATAAATAAAAGGCATATCAACTTGCTTGAAATAATTCAGTTGGCATAAATTAATAGATACGTGATACTACAATACACTTTGCGGGCAGCGCTACTCGCCGCGCTGCGACATAAAACTGAGTTTTGGACGCTCTGTTCAACCCAAAATTATAACAAAACTAAGCATGATAGAAAGAAAAGTTAAATACAAACAGTAAAGTATATTCAATTATCTACAGCTTTCTCACAGACAAAACTTCTCTGACCAACAAACAACAATTTTAGTAGGCGACTAACTTTTTCACTATACTTTTCCAAACGTTTTCTAATGTGTTAATTTTAAAAATATTTTTATATACTACCAAATGAAATTTTAATTTTCAAAGCCATACCATTGGCATGAAGAGTTTATTCCCAAGCGCTGTACCAAATTTCAAAATTTTACCTCAATTGTAAGGGTGTAAAAATGCAGTATATTTCAACCGTGACCACTAGTTCCGTACTACCGTAATGGTGAAACGGCCGGGAGTTACTGCTCGGTGCGACGTTGACAATTCTCGCTGGCCGCAGCCTGTAGTTAAAGGAGGCCGTGGCTCAGGGGCTAAAAATTGATTTTAATCCATGGTAACAAAAATAAATCCACAATGTTTACGTTCAGTTAAAATAAAAAATATTATCTTGTCAGATGGTGTGATGATGAAATTCTACATGTCACCGTGCCTGTTAATACTAAGCTACAAGTTGATTTCATAAAATTAACTACAGTATGCAAAGTTGAGTTTGAAATCCCTCAACTGTCTCTACTGTTTTTCTTGTCATTACTGCTGCTTAAAATGCTGTCCAATCTCATACACGTTTGTGTGTACTGTACATCTAATTACTCAATACTTCTGTATGCTTGAGGATCCTATTGTTAGTTGTAAATTTGATATCAATCTATTAATAACATTATTTTATTTCAGACTTTGGCCGATGTGTGGTGTGAGACCTTCATTAACTCAAAACAAGAAGCTTACAGATCTATGATAGAACTTTTCATCCATACTGTTGGTGCAACAATTGACGTAACATTGGAAAATCTGAAGACATTTGATAAGAAGGGCAAGCATCCTGACAACAAACCTTGCATCACAAAGGAGTTACAAGAAGCTTTTGATGATTCGGTAGGCCTAACTAACATTTTCTTAGTCTCCGATTAATTAATATTGGTGTAATGGTGTATAAATATGTAGTGTGTATTTCAAACTAACGTTTTTATTAGCAGACTCAGTGAGTAAGCCTAACTAATGTTAAAAAAAAAAAAAAAAAAACAGTTGACTCAAATCACCATTAATTTTTATTGTTGTTACTTTTTGCCTATTGTTTGGAAACAGTAATCAGCCTAGACCTTCTTTAGAAAATCCTCAGTTTGAATTAAGAATCTGAAAATTAAAAAAATGCATACTCAAAACAAGTGAGTGATAAGTGATGAAATAAGTGCTTGAGTATAATTCAGCAGCAACTGTGGGCCTTTTTCTTCCTTCCTTTTAATCTCCAGAAAAATGCACGCCTTTACTTTGAATGTACTTTGAATGCATGTCAGTGGTTTCTTCAATACTGATTTGCAATACAATTCACAAATAAAGTCATTCTTTGTCATTTTAGTATATTTTAACCATTAAATTACACAATTTTTTAACGGTATTGCCATTTTTTATTTTCATTGTGTTTATAGTTTAGTTCAATAGTGCCAATGATCACATAAGCTCAGTTGATGGTGCACGTTGGCTGCGACAAGCAAGGATATTTCACTCTGCAACAGCAAGTTGGTGACTGCCGGGCGTGACAAGCCCTAGTTTTTTTTTTTTTTTTTTATGGAGAGATAGGAAAATGCATTTATGCACACAGGTGGCAGTCCCAGTTGTCCTTACTCTTCAGCAAGGTCTCACGGGAATGCATGGGCAGTAAATGCAGTCAGGTGAATTAGTTTTGGCCATCAAGTGCAGGTACAACTGAAAATAGCCGTGACCTGACAAGAACTGCGTGAGGTAATAGTCAACCTCACCGTGCCGCCGTTCCACCCACGGTTGGACCTGTCTGATGAGTCTGGCAGTCCCAACGTCCTCGAGTCTCCCTTTCCCAGCTTTCTTGCCACATCTAAAAAGTGCGGGAGCGATCTTCCGTTCTTGCAGCGTCCTTTCCGATGTAGCCTTGTCTCTGGTAGATTGCCTTCCTTCCCATCGCTGCCAAGAGTTTGACAGGGATAACTCCAGCAATCACCAAAACTTAGCTTTATTAATGTTTCAAGACAAATGTCTGTGTTGTACATTCAACTTGTTGATTCAAAAGAGTTATTTTTTTCAGGTTAATGAACACTTGAGCAAGCGCTTTATTTTGAACAATGGATACATGAAGAATTTCATTGAGTTTGTACAAGCTGCCTTGGGATATGGACCCCTATCGGATAAATATCTAGCATACAAGATGCATGTAGCGCTAGAGTTATTTGCGTATTCAGTTTGGCCACTGGCTCGCTATGCAGCCTGTATTATTGGTGAGTATCAGTGCAGATAAGAAAACCGAACAGTTCTTTATATGGAAAAACATATGGGTGTACAAGTTTATGGAATAGTTCCTACTACTAACAGAATTTAGTGAATTCATCAATATAGGCTTATTAAACTGAAATAAATAGGAAACTAGGCAATTAGGAAAAAGTTAGAGTTTATGAATATAAATTTACACAAGTAAATGCCAAATGCTAGATCTTTTAGAATTTCCTTCATGTATGATAAATTAGTGAATGAACTAATATGTTTATTCAACGTAATATAAACAGCATGAACAAAATACATACTTTGAATATATTTCAAAGACTGTTGTGTTAATTTTAAAGATAGTAAAAAGGTTTGCAACTTCTAAGCCATATTTATGATAGATAGGTTGGTATAAAAAAGATACTTTTGGGGTTATGTAATATTTTTTTATTGTTTGAAATAATCTAAAATCGCTTAAAAATAACTTGCAAAGCGGACGGAGACTGTTGCATTGTTGTGGCAGACTTTGGCCGCATGCCTCGATATGCACTGCAAAACTGCAACTAACCTCTAGTGGTCCCGTATCAATCACTAAAGCTGCCATATCTTAGTTAATAGTCCACGGAAAGTAAATAAAAGAAACGTCTTATAACACTTAAAACATATATTTACGCTTATACTGTTACTCACAAGACGGTAAATATACAAAAAAGATGGTAAGTGGTGAATGAAGACCCAATAGGCGAATGAATTTATGAATTATTAGATTCGCCTATTGGGTCTGGGAGTGTCCAATCAAAATCGATCACCACTTACCATCTCTTTTTTGTATACTTACCGTCTTGTGAGTAACAGTAACTTATAAGCGTAAATATTACGTTTTAAGTGTTATAAGACGTTTCTTTTATTTACTTTCCGTAAATTTAATAACACGTACAATGCTGATCAAGAAGTTATTTAATAGTCCAATCTTAAAAAATAAGGTGTCAATCGATTTGTTATTAAATTGCCTTAAAAAAGTTATTCTTGTAATTTCTTTTGTAAAATCAATGGTTTTCGAGTTATTTAAGAAAGAAAATTTTAAATTGCCACCATTTCGGATTGGTAAAACTTATAAATTTGATACTTTTTGCAAAGATTAGCCTTACCTGTCACTATTTACGTACCAAGTTTCAAGTCAATCGCTTAAAGAGTTCGAAAGCTATGGATTCATATGTGAAAATCACATACAGACAGACAACCGGAAAAGGAGGCTCCGGCGACCCATGTTTATGATGTAAAATATTGTTTATGATGATTGGCAAAGGCAACCCCTCTTGATGCCGAATTAAACTGTTATGGCAAGGACATTAAATAGACCTACGGTATATGTTTTCATCAAAGTCAAGGGATTTAAAAATAATTTGACTACATCCAAGAAACCTTAATAAAAATGTCATTAAAGGATTCACATTATTCACATTCAAGGGAAACAAAACACCATCTGAACAATATAGTCCAGGAGCTGAGGGGGGTTGAGCATGCATGTAAGTAATATGCAATGTTATTGCTGATTATTGTAATATGGACTGTGGTGATCAAAATTACGTATGTCGCCTATTTCAAAAGTGGTCGATAAGGTGGGGGGGAGGGGGCAAACATGGCGGTTTGCGCTTTGCGTTAAAACGCTGGTATTTCGAAAACGGTAAAAGATAGAACATCGGTTAAAACGTAATTGTAATTCTAAAAATGTGTTGGTGACTACAATAATGGCTATTGAGTCCGAGGTCGTATCTTTATAAATAAACAAGTTATTGTATAAAATATGTAAAAATGGACTTTTCGTGTAGTTTTTTTTACCGAAAGTAGAATTAATTTGTGAGTGTCGCAGTAGTAGTAGTAATATCAAATATCAAAGAAGTAATATCAAATATCTTTGCTGATAGTTGTAATATGGACTGTGGTGATAAAAAAATATGCATGTCGCCATCTTTTCAGGTGGTCGAGAACTTGGTGGGAGGGGGGCAAAGATGGCGGAACGCGCTATGCATTGAAACAACTGTAGCTCGATAATGGTACGAGATAGGACATCGGTTAAAACGTAGTTTTAATAAAAAAAATACGGCCAATAGAAAAAGTTATTGGGTAAAAAGTTGTATCTTAACTAATAAAAAAGTTATAACAATAATAAGTTTAACAAAATCTACATTATACAGCTATTTTCTTCAAAAATCATATGAATTGTTGATAAAAAATAGTGTAATTACTTAATTACTCAGCTAAATATTAACTAGAGGCATTTTCTTATTAGAAATCCTCATTTTCGGTACTAAGTGAACTTTTAATTAATAATAATTTAAATCAGAACATTTTTACAGTTTACAATGCTCATAGTACAAGTGTTCTATACACGTTTATTAAGTCAATAGTGCTCCATCAAAGTACAAAATTGGCTAAATGTGTTTAATAAAAATTCTTTGATATTTTGCAAAACTTATCACTGTAGCTTTACATTTTTAAAATTGTTGAAATAAGCGATTTGGATAATTGGAGATTCGGTTAATTGGAGTTCGGATAATTGGAGTTCTACTGTACGTATAATACTTGGGGTTTCGCCGCAATCAAATGCATAATACAGATTACCACTACAAATCAAATTTTTATTATAATGTTATAGGTTTATTACAATATGAATATGTAACAGATTCTTATTAAATACAGTTATATGAAATAAAAAACATAACTACAAAAGTAAATACCTTATAATAAAAAATACGGTAAATCTCTTCATTCTGTCCATAACAATTACACTGGTTGTTCATATTATTTGTTGAATTGAAATAGGTACCTAACTTTTGTAAGTTGGTGAAATTTTACTTTAAAATTGCCTAATCCACTAGTCACTAAGAACAAACTTACATAAAAACCAACCACACACAATTAAAAAAAAAAAAAACGTAAGCAACTTAAAATAAAACGTATTGAAATTTAAAATATTTAAATAACTATTAAAAGTTATAAAAGAATGTTATTTGTATAAATAAAACACAATAAATGTCAGTAGTCTTGAACTGTACAAATACTTTCACAACCCTGATATCACTGGGTTAAAAGTCAATTAACTTTTGGGGGATTAACAGTTGTGCCGATATCAGCAGTACTGCACAGCAATTATGACGCAACCTTTCGGACGAACCCCAAGGCGTTTTTACATTTTAAACCACATGTATTCGTAATAATATTTTTTTTTCTTATAAGAAAATGCATCTAGTTAATATTTAGCCGAGTAATTAAGTAATTACACTATTTTTTATCAACAATTCATATGATTTTTGAAGAAAATAGCTGTATAATGTAGATTTTGTTAAACTTATTATTGTTATAACTTTTTTATTAGTTAAGATACAACTTTTTACGCAATAACCTTTTCTATTGGCCATATTTTTTTGATTAAAACTACGTTTTAACCGATGTCCTATCTCGTACCGTTATCGAGCTACAGTCGTTTCAGTGCATAGCGCGTTCCGTTATCTTTGCCCCCCTCCCCCCAAGTTCTCGACCACCTGAAAAGAAGGCGACATGCGTATTTTTTATCACCACAGTCCATATTAACTATCAGCAAAGATATTTTATATTACTTCTTTGCGACACTCACAAATTAATTCTACTTTCGGTAAAAAAACTACACGAAAAGTCCATTTTTACATATTTTATACAATAACTTGTTTATTTATAGAGATACGACCTCGGACTCAATAACCATTATTGTAGTCCACATTTTTAGAATTACAATTACGTTTTAACCGATGTTCTATCTTTTACTGCTTTCGAAATATCAGCGTTTTAACGCATAGCGCAAACCGCCATGTTTGCCCCCCCACCTTATCGACCACTTTTGAAATAGGCGACATACGTAATTTTGATCACCACAGTCCATATTACAATAATCAGCAATAACATTGCGTACTACTTTCATGCATGCTCAACCCCCCTCAGCTCCTGGACTAATATTAGGCCTTTCAATTCTGCATTTTTTCAGGTAATTATAACTGACGTTATAACAGAAGCTAACCAAATTAATGCCAATTGAAACAAAATTGTGACAGAGAGGTAATGCAGAAAATCAGGCAGTTCTTAAGTAATGTAAACAAAATTTTATCGCTATAAAAATGACTGAAACATGTAATCGTACTGGCGACAATGGGTAGTACCATTGACTTTATATCTAAAGTCAAAGGTAGTAACATGGAGACTACATTATCATTGACGAAGATCAACATGGACAACCTAATTTTGTTTCTATAAACCATTAACAAATTTTGCTTTCAGCTGCAGCTCCATATTGCAAATGTATGTTTTGAACATTCAAACGTGCCAAAAACGATGGACAGCTAATTACTATTGAAGGGCACTAAAATCACTTAAATATGACAGCTTTAAAATGAGCCTTTGCTAAGATCTTTAGCAACACATGTATTAAGCAGTAGATTTGATCCATTCATTTGGGACACGGTGTATCCAGGCCCCATAAGCTTTAATTTTTGATTAATGTCCAGCAAACATTAACAACGACCAAATAAACATGCAATTAAATTTCTGAATTTATAATGTGCAAGCGGACTATGAGTCACTACAACACAGTGTATTAGTAACAGTGGGTTAGAAAGAAGCCTTTTAACAATAAGGTGTATTCACGGCATTTCTGTATTAGGAAGCTCATTCAGAGTTTACCTACCAAGCGAGACTGAGAATTTGATGAGCCTGGTGTACAGTCTGTTCAAAAACTAAGGGTGTCCGGGTTCGTCGTTTGCGCGCAGCGTTAAACTGGGACACCTTTTCAATGTGCCCAGTTTCGTCGTGTCGTGAAACGCCACCCCTGGACAACTTAAAAATGTGTCCAGGTTCGTCGTTTGCGTGCAACGTTAAACTTGGACACATTTGAAAGTGTCCAGGTTCATCGTTGTCTGATTGAGGCGGTGTCTGTTTTTATCGTAGTCCACGTTTAACGTTGTCCTACTTCGACATCGTCCTGTATTTAAGTATGATAATCTTACCTAACCTAACATAACCTTACTTAATCTAGCCTAACCCATGCTTAGGTTAGCAATATGCCGAAAATGACAGATTTTTGTTAAACCAAGGTTAGGTTAGGTTAGATTAGATTAGATTGTAATTATATTTGGGAAAAGTGTTTAAAATATCCTAAAGTAATAAAAAAACAAATTAAAATTATATATAAAAAAAACCCAATCTTTAGCACTTTTTTGGCAATTTTCAAACACAATTTTCATGGTGAAATAGGCGTTTGTGCGAAAAGGAAAGTGTTCAAAATAGGCTAAATAATGATATAAAATAATTTTTTTCAAAATTCGTTAGAAGCTCCTAAAGTAAACAAATACCGAAAATGTCTTCAAATATGACAACTTTGCTTGGCCACTATGGAAACTACCTGTGGCCACTCGGAGGGTTAATGCCAGAACCACAATTTTAATATATTTTTTTTTGTTATTTGATTTTCAAGACTGCACACATAAAGGAACCCCTTCTTGTATTAGCGAATTGCATTAAAATGAGGGATTTAGCACTTGCGTCAACAACTATAGAATGATTCCTTTGGATTAAAAAATTGTGTGACTTGGTACCATCATGGTTTGGAACGTCCAGATTAATAACTATAATTTTATTAAAACCAATTACGAATGGATAATTAAGAACTGAACTTACGTCATTGCAATATAGAAAGAAAGGATAGAATGTATATGGAAGTAGAGAGAGAGAGAGAGAGAGAGAGAGAGAGAGAGAGAGAGAGAGAGAAGGGAATATATTTAGAAAAAACAGCATCAGCGACCAGTGAAACATTTTACCTCAGGCTTGCACCCCCTGGTAGTGGTCACAGTCCAAACATATTTGAAACTTTTACTAACATTATAATTTAATTTAAACTTATAGGTACCTACTGTTTACAAAACTATTTATCACAAATTTGTTGTATATTTCAGGAGGATTACTTTTGAACCAATATACATTACACTTGCCTAGAGATCCACTTCCCGAATGGGAAGAACCACTGGTGACCAATCAAAAACTTGAAAGGACCTTTGACACATTTTTGAAATTTTTGTGGAGTTCTCAAAGGTAAATACTTTATTTACAATTTTAGCTGACATTAAACAAAATTTTGATGTTCATGAGAGATGTAGGATAAGTCAAATGTAATATTTAATTTCTTGTATCACTAAAATATTTTGTTATTTAGGATTTTGTGGGGTAACATTACTGAGTCAGTTTACATTAAAATCAATATCTTATTCATAATATCAAATCAAAAGATCTTTATTCATATTTGTAAATACATGTTTTCATGAATAGTGTCAAACAATTAACAAAAATAATTACATGAATAGGTAGGCTACAATCAAAATTATTATTAGGACAGTATTGATCACACTACTCCAGGTTGCTGTTTTCTGAATTTTAAAATCTATTATCTGTTCTAAACTTAAAAAAGTCATCAAATGAATAAAGTGCCCTCTGTATCAAAAATTCTTTCAATTTCACTTTGAAACCTCTATCATCCTGCATGCTTCTTATGTGATCTGGTATGTGATTTAGGAATCTGATACCGTTGTATGAAGTTTTTCTTTTGAACAATTCTAATTTATGATTTGGTAATACTACTTTATTTTTATTCCTAATATTATAGCTGTGGATATCTTTATTGGTAATAAAACTATTTATATTATTTTTACAAACATTATGCATTCTAAAATGTATAAGCTGTAAACAGTCAACATTTCAAATTAAGTAAAGTAAGTTTTGACAGATTCATTGTTCTTAAAGTTTAATATGGCCCTTAATGCTCTTTTCTGTCCTATTAGTATCTTTGTCAAATTTTGAGCGGATGTTCCACCGTAGACACAGATCCCATAAGAAACATGGGATTGAAATTGGCAAAATAAACACTTTTTAACACATTCGTATCGCAGAGATAATACAGTCTTCTGATGGCATAGATTCCTGAGTTAATTTTCTTTAAGACACTATCCACATGCAGATCCCAACAGATTTCTATCAATGATAAGGCCAAGAAATTTAGTATTTTCAACTTGCATAATTTCCTCATTATCTATGTAAATATTTATTTCTTCTTTAATTTGTCTTTGTTTAGTGCAAAATGATATGCAGTTAGTCTTTTGAGTGTTCAAAACTAAATCGTGAGTGATAAAGAAATCTTTAATTTTTGCTAACTCCACAAAGGAGTGAATTTCTAATTCTATACCAGTTTTTGCAGACATTATAAGGTTTGAATCATCGGCGTACAAACAGAGCTGATTTTTGATAGAGTTTCATTTACTTAGGCAATTCGGCATATCACTTATTTAGCAGATAAATAATAATGGTCCAAGTATTGACCCTTGGGGTACTCCATATTTAACTTTTTCTAATGTTGACTGAAATTTAATAACTTGATTTTTCTCAGTTCTTGATACTTCTACATATTGTACTCTATCAGTTAGGTATGATTCAAACCATTTTAAATATGAATTCCTGATTCCTAGGCTATTAAGTTTGTCAATCATTTTTGGGTGGGAAATACTGTCAAAAGCTTTGGATAAGTCCATAAAAATTCCGGTAACTTTCTCTTGCTTATCTAATGACTCTATGATTGATTCAACAAAACTTATTAAAGCAGTGGTAGTGGATTTATTTTTCCGAAAGCCATGTTGTTCGTGATTAAAAAGATCATATAGTTCTAGGTGTCTTATGAGATTTAATTGCATCGCTTTTTCAAAAATTTTTGATATATATGGAAGAATAGAAATTGGTCTATAATTTTGAATATCCGATTCTTAACCCTTTTTGTACACCGGTATGACCTTAGAGATTTTAAGTTGTTTTGGAAAAATGCCTGAAATAAAGGAAGAATTTATTATATGCTTTAAGGGTTTTAATAGGGACTCCTTAGCATATTTAATAATCTTTATTGGAACTTCGTCAAAGCCACTGGACCATTTATTTTTTAGAGCGTCGATTATTTTATTTATATCACTTTCGTCAATTGCCGGACACCTGAAAGTTGGGATCTGTTTATTACTTTCCTTCATAGAACCAACAGCTTGATTTGATCTATCATCTAACATATTTTCAATTATACTGACAAAAAAGTTATTAAAACTATTGGCAACATGCAATGGGTTTGAGATTTCACAATTAGGTCTACCTAGTTTTAAAACATGATTTTGTTGTTAGTTGGCTGGAGTTTTTCTTGTCTCCTTATTAATAATTTCCCACACAGTTTTACTTATATTTTCAGAGTTTTTAACTTTATAACTATAATAATTACGTTTTGCACTCATGACATTTAATTTATATTGCTGCGTTTTTTTTTTTTTTAATTGAGTTTTAAGAACCTTTGACCCAGATTCTCTAACTAGGTTGTTTAATTCAATGAGATCATTTTTGTTCTTTTTTAGGTTCTCTGTAATCCAATTTTTGCTGTTTTGGTGATTGTAAATTTTTTTCCTGACCTTTGGAAAAGATAAATTAAAGTAATATTTTGAAAAATATTGTGGAACGTGTCATATTTACTCTCTATATTTGAATTAAAAAAAGTTAACCAATTTTCTTTTACCAATAATGATTTGAACAGTTTCATAATGTCTACAGAAAAATTTCTACCTCAGTAATTTAGAGTAGTATTATCTATCTTTTTAGGACATGTGAGTAGTTCCATGAGTTGACCGTCATGATCTGATAAGGCTGTTACAATATCCTCAGTTTTAATTTGATCCTTATTAATGTTAGTTAAAATATTATCTATGCAAGTTTTTGAGGTATTTGTGACTCTTGTGGGAAAATCTATTATATAATTCATACCACATCTCAGGAGAATACTTTTTAACTCTTTTAGCTCTGGTGAATCTTTAAGAGTGTCAATATTAAAGTCCCCAATTATAATCCAATTTTTTTTCTTTTATTACTAGATTATTAATTAGTTTATTTAGTCGGTTTAAAAACTCTGAGTTTTCAAACTGTGGGGTTCTATAAATTCCTACCAGCAAAAAGTGGAAATTATCTACTTTAAATTTAACACAACAAAACTCCAACAATTTATCTTGGCAAAGCTCTTCTCCCATTTTTAAGAGCAGTGGTTTCCCCTTTATGCTCTCCTTTGATAAGATTAAAACACCTCCTCCAGTTGTTGTGGTGCGAGAATAATGAGCTATTTTTTTGTAGTTATCAAGGTTAAATCTTTCCATATCATAGTTATTCATGTTATGTTCTGTTAAAACAATTATATCAGGATCTATCTCTGTTAATGATACTTCCAATTGTTCAATTCGAGTTATTAAATTTTGAATATTTTGATGAAAAATCTTTAGATTTCCGAGATTTAGGTTGTTTTATCTAACCGGGACTCTGAGATGTAATTTTTTGAGAGTTTAAAGTTGAGCTTAAAGGGTTCACATCTGCTGTTTGTGTATTAAGTTCATTTCCCTTGATCACTTCACTTTGCACTATGCTCTGCTTTTCCACAACACAATCACTAAACTGCTGCTGGCTTGTCTCGCTGCACTGAAGCCCGCTGTGGGACGAAAATGCTGGCATGGTTGAAGGGAGGCTGCTGGTGTTTTGGTTGTGTACAGTGGCTGATTGATGTTGTGCCCCCTGACTTGTGTTGCCAGTAGGTTGCACTTCGGCACCATATGAGCGTATACGTGGATCAGTCTGGTGAGGATGTTCTGGCTGGCTGCGCTACCCAAAAGTAGGGGTCTGCGGGTCAGACTTTTTTGGTTCGGGTCGGGTCGGGTCGGGCCAATAATTTTGGTCCTCGGGTTTCGGGCCAAAATCGGGTCGGGCCAAAAATTATTAATTACCGGATTTTTTTTCTTTTTTTAACTCCTATCTGTGTTTATAATATTACTTGAAAATAACATATGGAAAAAGATTGTATTTATGTATATTATTTCATGTTCATAACTTATTTACAGCTTAGGAGTTGCCTCAACTGCAAGAAAGAAGAAAATATTTTTTTTTATCAAGCCATTCTTTCCCATTTTCATAACTGTTGAGATATCTAAACAGCTATATTACAACAAGTTTGTAATGGAACTTAATATAAATGGATCATAAACAAATCAATTAACCTTATCACAAGTTTAGGGCCTGTGGCTTCAAGACTGCAAGCAAGAAGAAAATAAAAATTCTATGTTTCCACCATGCAATATGAATCATTCATTCCCTGCCTCCTAACCTCCTCTCACACTTACAATAGCATTATTAGTTACATCATCATAAATAAAGAATTATCTATTATTGGCATTAGTATGCCTACAGCTTTACATAGGAATTATTTTTTATAGGGCCTAAAATAGTAATAAGCAACATGACAAGTGGAGAACTCATTGAAGAAAAGATATTGTGTAAACTAATTTACTATAAAACTCTAAAACAATAAATAACACACATACATTGTTTATGGTATAGTTATAGTAAAGACTGTAAAAATTGCATATCATGTCATACACAGTTATAGATACACAGTTATAGGCACAGTTATAGGTATTGCAAGAGATTAAAATCCTAAAACAACTGATTTTAGCTAATAAATGAAAAGAATTAAAAATCCATAAACTCAAGTCAAACAATATCACAATTATTAGGTACCCGAAAAGGAACTCTTAATATATAGAAAATTATATTAAATCAAGAGAAAAGAAAGTTAAATGCTAATTTGGCAACATAAGCAGACAGCAGAGACATTATAGTGCCCTAATTAGCAACACAACTCAATGTTTTTATACTGTAAGTCAATGTTTTTGAAACTGTAGGGTCTTTTTCTCAGAAGGAAGGGTAGTAGAATGTCAATGTAAACAAAAAACCATGAATCACTCTCACAGCCGGGCCCGGGGACACTCAAGGTTACAGACCCTCCCCCTCCCCTCCCCTCCCATCTTACACAACCCGAGCCAGGCCCCGGGGACACTCAAGGTCATAGACCCTCCCCCTCCCCCGCCCCTATTACGCCACCCGGTTGTTCCAATTGCTGACAAAATACAAGTAACAAAACAAGGAAGTAGAGACAAAAAGATATATTTTCTTTATTCAAAAATATAAAACTGTTACAGATAATTTCCAAAGAAATTAATTCATGGTAGTTTGTGTCTTGTAAATATTGTATTGGATCTTAGAAATATGTTTTTTGAAACTCAATCCAACTTAAGAAAAAAATAATTTTACTGATGAAAACTTTCATAAAATTATAAAATATTTAGGCCTAACCTCTTTGTAGACTTGTTGATACTTGATACTTAAAAAAAAAAAATTAAATGGTGACCATAAAATGCCGAACCAGACGATCAGAAGTGTTGTTTTGTTTTGTTACTGAATGACAAAAAGGACAATAGGAAAATAAAAGAACAAGATACAGATCTGTACACTATATCAGATATTTCTTTTGTTTATAATTTATTATGTAAATAAAATACTAAAATATAATTTAAACTAGGTATGGAATAAACAATAAATAATTAAACTGGTACCTCTGGATAAATAGTCATTCTTTTGACTTCGTTTTCTTTGCACTGTTGCGTCACGGCTTTTGTTTTGTCAGTCAGTAGACGACTGGCTCTGGCTAGTGACAGTAAGGCAATAATTGCTCTGTTGTGTCTTTGTTCTTAAACGTGAGCAAACTTAATATTTAATTCTAATTTTAACATTTTAATTCCTCTGTAATAATGTATATAAGAGTGTTTCTTTGAAAATTACTTATTATAACTTTAAAAATAGCCTAATAATTATTTTTTTTTGGCCCGACCCGATCTTGGCCCGAACAAATCTCTGACCCGACCCGGTCTCTTGGGCCTTCCGCTGGCCCGACCCGACCCGAAAAAATCGGGGACCCGCAGACCCCTACCCAAAAGTGATATCAGTTCCTCCTGCGTCTACTGTAATACTTGCATCGTTGTCAGTCGTCAAAACGACTTCTACAGGAGGACTACTACTTGTGAGATGTTGGTTGTAAGAATCTCGAGGCATGAGCTCTGTAGTATTTGTTGAGCAGTCCACTTCATCGTACTCCTTCACCGTTCTTCTCAGAGCACTAACAAAGTCAGGGTGAGAGAGTCCATTCCTCAAAACCCGAGCCGATATTTGATTATAACACACAATATAAATTGTGGCATCTGTAGCACGTTGGAATTCAAAGAGGTTGTTGATGAAATGGTCTATTTTGATTGAGTCCCTCACGCATCCCATCGGGGAACAAACTAATGTCTTTAGTTCTCTTTTTGTAAAATCGTCTGTCAATTGCCTGAAAGCACTGTCATATTCTTGAATTGAGGGTTTACCATAGTAATTTGGTTTGGTTACCAGGCTGTATACTACTGGTCCATTCAATATATACAATATCTATTGCAATGCTTGCAAGTAATTGACAGGGAAATTAGTAATCAATTTAGTTTCTTTATTTTATCGATAGTTTCAACTTGGGTTTTAATGGAAACCAACACAAAACCTTAAAATAATGAGAAAGCTGGTCTATCAACCTTTGCTTCAGCTGTTGATTTTGGTTCATCATTACAAGCCCTTTCTTGGTTGGATTACAAAGATTTCTCTAAGGTTTACTGAATTAACGAATAGGAAATTACCTGATTTAATATATGCCTCGACTACATAATTATTGTGACAAAAAAATCTCCATATAACATGAAACTTGCATTGAAAAAAATAGCATAGTTTGCTCCTGCTAAAAGCTCTTGTCAAGGACTATTCCTAGGCTATGCTATTGCATTAATGGAAATACCAAGTTCAATTAATATGCATATATCCGTTTAGTCCTTGTAAGAACAAGCCTACTATAACCAACTTGTTTAAATTAAAAAGCCGATTTCAGGATAAGTTGCTGAATACTGTTTTCTGCAACAATGTTTGTTGAAGCACAATTTGCTCTATGCATAACGAAAAAGGACAATTTCTTGACATTGAAAATTGTTATTCACAGAACTAGTAACTTATCAATATGGTTAAAAGTTATAGCAATGTTGTTTTTAACATTAAAAATAAATAGCAATGTCGTTATCAACATTTAGGCCCAGCGCACACGGTGTGACTGTTTTACAACAACTGTTGCAAACCAGTTGCATCTGAAACCAGTTTGCAACTGAAACAAAGCTTCTGTCCGCACACGGTGTGACTGTTTTACAACTACAGTTGCGTCTTTTGTGCAATCAGTGGAGTGTCAATTTAGTGCAGTTTACGTTGTTTTAAGGTCTTAAATGCGCTTACTACGTCAGACTTAGATTTAGAAGACGTTATTAGCTATAATTAATACCGAAGACAGCGAAGGGTACTGAGAGAGCATTGGGGCCACCCTTATTTGAGCAAGAATGTTAGTACTAAGCTGTTTGTAGCAGCTAACTTTACATTAACCTAATGTGCGTGGAATAAAAGTAACGTCTACCGTAGCTACAGCTACATTTCATTGTAGCAGTAGTTGTAGCTAGCTACATTTTAAAAGTAGCTTCCCCAACTCTGCCTATCGTATATTTAAGTTTTTCAACAACATTATCACCTAATATCATTATTATTATTTGTGAGTATTATATTGTGTTGTATGAGTATGATTGTATCCTTGAATTTTAAATTGAGGTTCTAGTGTATATTATTTAACTAAATCTTGTTTTGAAATATAATGACCTCCACTCCATAAAAAGCTCATGTAAGTTACAATTTTAAGCATGTGTACTGCCTTTTTACAAAATTAGAGAGAAGAATTCTATTTAAATAACTAATTAAAGAAAACCTGACAATCAATTTAAAATAGAAGCAAACCGAACTGATATCTTTAACCAACCCATCACACAGTTTTTTGAATATAATTGAACACACAACATTCAATTCAAGGCCATTAACTTATATTCAAATTCACAGTGCACAATTTTTGATTGATTTAAGTATAATTATTGGTGTCATTATGATTTGAAATTTAGCTACAATCTATAAAAAAAACACACACACAAAAAGCAAGATAACAGTTGTAACCAGGTTGTAAGGAATTAGGAGCAGCTTGTAGATTTCTTATATTTTTAAGGGGTATTATAATATTAAGAACAGTCTGTTTTTATTGTTAAATTATTTTTAATTAAATTGAAACTGCTAAAGTAGATTTGCTTCCAAAAATTTCTTTATCAAGTCTAATGATTTGTATTCATAAGTTTATGGCTCAATTTCTGTAGTGATAGGCTATAGTAAATTCTTTGTTTAAGAGTTCCTCGCTCAGCAATCTTCTTGATATTTTCAAGAAAACTAACAGCAAGCATAATGTTAATAAAGTGTAGTCTCTTTGTACTTTTCAGCTCAAGTAAGTAAACCTTAAATATATATATTTTTTTTTTGCAGAGATTCAAACTTGACCATACGGAAAACTGCTTGTCAACTTTATTTCCGTTTGATAATGACAGGAGCACCCAAGTTCCAGAATTCTGAAATTCTGTGTCCTTTTTCTTGGAGTTTGGCAGACCACAGCCCGTTTATCAGGAAATATGTAGTTGAGGTATTTAGTAGTTTAAATCATATTCGTTAAAATTATTTTTACTATGCATTTACCTATTATAACTATTATCTAGTGATGGTCGGATCCGGATATCGGACTACCGGATCCACCGGATCTGAGCTAGAACCGACGCCCGATCGGTAGGGGTGTGCGAGTACTCGAATCTTTGAGCTTTTTGGTCGAGCTTTTCATTATTCGGCTCGGCTCGAGGCATTTTGAAAAAGCTTGAAGTTCGAGCCGAGCTTTTAATACTAAGTCAAAACTAAAAAAAAACACTTAATTTGGGTCGTAATTGAAAACAATGTTATCACAATTCTACGTTGTTCATGCTCCGAGGTTTGATAAGCACGAACCTCGGCTCAGTCAAGACGCAATGATTATCGATCGTAATTTTGAGGAAAGAGACAAACTACCACAATCGTGTTGTCTTTCTAACACAGCTATTCGTATCCTAATATACAACGCAGTGCGAGTGCGTGATTGGCCCGTCACTATGACGTTCACGGTTGCCGTGACAACCTACAGTGTGCACTGAGCACTGCGCCTTGTGTAGGAGGGGAGATTATACCAACAAACTATTTCAGGAATTCTATTTTGGGACGGATGAAAGATAAGGAAGAAACAAAAAGTGGTCACGTGTGCAAATGTAGTGGGTGACACAATAAGGCTGTAAACGTGTATTGTATCGTCGTGTCATTGTTCCTTGTTTGTTTACTTTTTCAGATTCCTTATCAAACGCCCCTATCTGCTATCTCCCTTTCATTCTCTCTCTCTGCTGTCCCTCTCTAACAATGTACTGATTAAACAGATTGTGGTTGACGACTTTTCTACTTATAAGTTTCCCTGCGGTTATTTTAGTTCAATCAATCCCATAACCTTTCTAATGTTTATCAAAATAATGAATTAATCTGTTTTGTATTTTATTTCCTTTAAACCAACCCCTATTTACCATCTGTATTTTATAGAATAAAATGTTTGTTTATAAAGTTTGACTGGCCACACAAATTTGTACCTATTTTATTTTGTATAAAGTAACAGTTACTTTGATGATTATATATATATATCAATAAGTGGTGCGTGCTGTAATGAATGCTTTTTATTATCAAAATAGGTAATGAATTATTAATTTTTGATAATACATGGGTCATTGGAATACCATAATGTGATGTAGTTTCCTATTTGTAACTTGCAAATAATAATAATTTATAGTTAATTCTGGAAAATGAAAAATAGTGATCACATTCATAAACCTGTTGTCAAAACAGCAGCGAGGGTGTAAGGGTTTATTGTTTCAGACGCAAGGGTGTTTCAAGGACAAAGTGTTGGGCCTCCCGGCTTAAGGGGAGGAGGGGGGCGTTGAGACTGTGTGAAGGGGAGGAAACTGGTTTTGGCTATTTATTGATTAGCTCGCCGACCCTTCTAGATAACAAAATTGAGTGACAGTGTTAAATCATCGTGTTCTTTATTTCATTTCTTGTTTACTTTGTGTGTTATTCTATTAATTTTAGTGTTTTGGTCTATTTCCTCTATATGTCAATTATATTTTTTTTAATATATAAGTTTACTTTTTACTTGTCTCTCCACCTTTTTGGATCCAAACCAACTATGTTCTTTTTTTATTAATACGATTCATAAAACAAAAATATTTTGTGCATGGAAAACAACAAGAATAATCACGTGTTTTTAAATTTATTTTCTATTTATTTATCAAAATAGAATTAAATATTCATAGTAGTTACAATATACATATGTAATCGACTTGCTAGTTGTTTTGTCGGTCATTCAAGGTCGCGTTGCTGTTCTGTTATGAAAGACAATCTGATTGTCTCCGTCTGCACTGCATATCTCGTCAGGCCTTCAATCGATATCCTTTTATTTCTTGCATCTTAATTTAGTTCAGTTCAGTTCTTATCGTGATTATCTACTATTTGATGTCTTGACAATTCTCAATGTTTTTAAACATATTAAAATAACATTGTGTTTATTTAAAAATTGACTGAACATTATTATTATTATGCACTTTCTTAAAACAAAAAGTTAATTTAGATAAGGTGACGCTAGGAAAAGCTCGGCTCGAAAAAGCTCGAGCTCGAATATTTTTTAAAAAGCTCGGCTCGGCTCGAGGTTGAAAATCACTATTCGCACACCCCTACCGATCGGATACACAAAAAATCGGATCTTGGGCTGGATCCGGTTTTAATGGATCCGATTTTTTTTATACTATTAACATAAAACGGACGAGTATTCGAGATTTCGAGTTCCAGTAGAGTACGGCCTTGAAATTCGGGCTTATCTTTGAACTCGCCAGTTTGGTTTAAAATTGTAAATAATCAATATTTGTTGAAATGTAACTTGTGTTTACATAAAATGATGAATAATTTGTATTACTGTAGATTCTACAGTAATACAAATATAGAAATAAGCAAGAGGTAGTTGTCCTAACCTATTTAGCTGTCAGTGCTGTCACGACAGAATAGGTCAACTCAAAGCAGTTGCCGGGGACTGACTGGCAATGGTATACTGACTTGACACAGAATAGAATGACATGATCGGTAGTGATTTTGTTTTTAAGTAGGGCTACTGTTTCACAATAGAAAATTCCACTACTGAACTGTTGTAAGCAATAAATTTATGTTTATAAAAGTCAGATTAGAAACACTATAAAGGCAAAACAATAGAAGGGAAGGGAGGAGTTGTGCAATGACCTCGAGCAACATTGAGTAAGGGGTTGGGGGGGAGGGGGGGGAAGGGAAGGGTGAGCCTTAGAGCTATATTTAGACGACTTTCACACTTCCCAAATGGCTGGGTACGGGGATTACAATAGCTGGTTTTTCCTTGCCTGGTTTGTCTTTTATCTTTTTGTGTAGGAGATTTGAAAAATCAAAAATATAATTTGAATTTACCACAATTATTTAGCATTGATAATACAATTTGCAAGGGACTAGGAGGAAATAGACCAAAACACTAAAATTAATAGAATAACACACAAAGTAAACAAGAAATGAAATACAGAACAGTGATTTAACACTGTCACTCAATTTTGTTGTCTAGAAGGGTCAGTGAACTAATCAATAAATAGCCAAAACCAGTTTCCTCCCCCTCTTCTCTCTCAGTCTCACCACCACCCCTCCCCCCCTGAGCCGGGAGGCCCAGCACTTTGTCCTTGAAACACCCTAGCCTCAGAAACAATAAACCCTTACACCCGCGTTGCTTTTTTGACAACAGGGTTATGAATGCATTCACTATTTTTCTTTTTGCAGAATTAACTATTTTGATAATAAAAACCATTTATTACAGCACGCAGCACTTATTGATGTAATTAATCATCAAAGTAACTGTTACTTTATACAAAATAAAATAGGTACAAAATTGTGTGGCCAGTCAAACTTTATAAACAAACATTTTATTCTATAAAATACAGATGGTAAATAGGGGTTGGTTTAAAGGAAATAAAATACAAAACAGATTAATGAATTATTTTGATAAGCAATAGAAAGGTTGTGGGATCGATTGAACTAAAATAACCGCAGGGAAACTTATAAGTAGAAAAGTCGTCAACCACAATCTGTTTAATCAGTACATCGTTAGAGAGAGAGGGGGGAGAGAGAGAGATAGCAGATAGGGGCGTTTGATAGGGAATCTGAAAAAGTAAACAAACAAGGAACAACGACGCGACAATACTCGTTTATAGCCTTATTGTCTTGCCCACTACATTTTACACCCTACATTTTACACACTACACGTGACCACTTTTTGTTTCTTACTTATCTTTCATCCGTCCCAAAATGGAATTCCTGAAATAGTTTGTTGGTATAATCTTCCCTCCCACACAAGGCGCAGTACTCAGTGCGCACTGAAGGTTGTCACGGCAACCGTGTGTCGTCATAGCGACTAGCCAATCACGCACTCGCACTGTGTTGTAGATTACGATACGAATAGCTGTGTTAGAAAGACTCCATTATATTCACAATAATGTTCACAATAATCATACAACACAAATAATAACACAATAATAATGTCACAATAATGTAATGACGATTGGTTTTATCAGCTTAATCTTTTAATATAAAAAGTTTTTATATTTCATAATGCGTGTCGATAGGTGCCAGGTGGTAGTTTGTCTCTTTCGTATCTCCTCAAAATTACGATCGATAATTAGATAATAATCGCGCAACGTAGAATTGTGATGACTTTGTTTTCAATAATGACACATATTAAGTGTTTTTATATGGACACAGTTAGTCTTTGACATTGCCTAGCCATATGAATTATTTTACTTAAAAAACCCACACTTGAAAAAAGAAAATGACGTATTTGTATTTGGATCCGATTTTTTCAAGATCCGGATCCGGTACCGACATTTTCTTGGATCCGCCCATCACTACTATTATCATTATCAACTCTCATTACAATCCTAAACTAATAATATTCAGGGTTGTCAACGCCCATGAAGAGCATGAAATATCCATGAATTTGTATGACTGAAAAAGTGTGTGAATCATGTATAAATTGTTCCATTGGACTTTGAATTTTCAAAATCATGAATAATAGTTCAAACAAAACTCTTGAATTCACAAAATAAATCGTCTTTCAAGACGAAAAGGGGTAGGTATATAAACTTAACATTAGTGATGGGTCGGTACCTCACGCTAAATGCTGGTTCTTGGCAAAAGAACCGGAACCGAGAATTCATTGTGAAAAGTTAGTACCGAAACTCGTCACCGATATGGCCAGAACATTACCGATATTGCCCCGATCGTGCAAGACGACGATGACGTTTCCGTGACCGCGGGAGACAATGGTGATGTCTACACTGCTGCAAGAGATGTTCATGACTTTGTTGCAATTGCGGGAGATTATGATGACGTTTTCATTGACCGTGGGAGTTGATGATGATGGCTACACTGCTGCAGGAGATGATCATGACTTTGTTGCTATAGCAGAAGACGATTATGACATCTACACAGTGTTGAGTGATGTTCATGATTTTGCCACGATCA